GGTTTATAGTACAGACTGGCTATAGTAGCAGACTGGTTATAGTAGCAGACTGGCTATAGTAGCAGACTGGCTATAATAGTAGGATGGCTATAGTAGCAGACTGGCTATAATAGTAGACTGGCATAATAGTAGGCTGGTTATAGTAGCAGACTGGCTATAGTAGCAGACTGGCTATAGTAGCAGACTGGCTATAGTAGTAGACTGGCTATAGTAGCAGACTGGTTATAGTAGTAGACTGGCTATAATAGTAGACTGGCTATAATAGTAGACTGGCTATAGTAGCAGACTGGCTATAATAGTAGACTGGCTATAGTAGCAGACTGGCTATAGTAGCAGACTGGCTATAGTAGCAGACTGGCTATAATAGTAGACTGGCTATAATAGTAGACTGGCTATAGTAGCAGACTGGTTATAGTAGCAGACTGGTTATAGTAGCAGACTGGCTATAGTAGCAGACTGGCTATAGTAGCAGACTGGCTATAGTAGCAGACTGGTTATAGTAGCAGACTGGGAGGACACAAACCTTGATCTTGACAAACTCAAACTGGAAGAGTTTGGTGCTGGTCGGACGCACAAACACAGCAGGGAACAGCTTTGTGTTGGACTCCACCTAGACACACAAGAATATACACACAATCATTACCTCAAGAACAGCATAATCCCAGACATCAACAGCATAATCCCAGAAACCCTAGACCCACTCCAATTTGCATACCGCCCCAACAGATCCACAGATGATGCAATCTCTATCGCACTCCACACTGCCCTTTCCCACCTGGACAAGAGGAACACCTACGTGAGAATGCTATTCATTGACTACAGCTCAGCATTCAACACCATAGTGCCCTCTAAGCTCATCACTAAACTAAGGATCCTGGGACTAAACACCTCCCTCTGCAACTGGATCCTGGACTTCCTGACGGGCCGCCCCCAGGTGGTAAGGGTAGGTAACAACACATCTGCCACACTGATCCTCAACACGGGGGCCCCTCAGGGGTGCGTGCTCAGTCCCCTCCTGTACTCTCTGTTCACCCATGACTGCATGGCCCGGCACGACTCCAACACCATCATTAAGTTTGCCGACGACACAACAGTGGTAGGCCTGATCACCGACAACGATGAGACAGCCTATAGGGAGGAGGTCAGAGATCTGGCCGTGTGGTGCCAGGACAACAACCTCTCCCTCAACGTGACCAAGACAAAGGAGATGATTGTGGACTACAGGAAAAAAAAGAGGACTGAGCACGCCCCCATTCTCATCGACGGGGCTGTAGTGGAACAGGTTGAGAGCTTCAAGTTCCTTGGTGTCCACATCACCAACGAACTATCATGGTCCAAACACACCAAGACAGTCGTGAAGAGGGCACGACAAAGCCTATTCCCCCTCAGGAGACTAAAAAGATTTGGCATGGGTCCTCAGATCCTCAAAAAATTCTACAGCTGCACCATCGAGAGCATCCTGACTGGTTGCATCACCGCCTGGTATGGCAACTGCTTGGCCTCTGACCGCAAGGCACTACAGAGGGTAGTGCGTACGGCCCAGTACATCACTGGGGCAAAGCTTCCTGCCATCCAGGACCTCTATACCAGGCGGTGTCAGAGGAAGGCCCTCAACATTGTCAAAGACTCCAGCCACCCTAGTCATAGACTGTTCTCTCTGCTACCGCACGGCAAGCGGTACCGGAGTGCCAAGTCTAGGTCCAAAATACTTCTCAACAGCTTCTACCCCCCAAGCCATAAGACTCCTGAACAGCTAATCATGGCTACCCGGACTATTTGCACTGCCCCCCCATCCCATCCTTTTTACGCTGCTGCTACTCTGTTAAGTATTTATGCATAGTCACTTTAACTCTACCCACATGTACATATTACCTCAACTACCTCAACTAGCCGGTGCCCCCGCACATTGACTCTGCAACGGTACCCCCCTGTATATATAGCCTCCCTACTGTCACTTTATTTTACTTCTGATCTTTTTTTCTCAACACTTTTTTTTGTTGTTGTTTTATTCTTACTTTTTTTGTTTAAAATAAATGCACTGTTGGTTAAGGGCTGTAAGTAAGCATTTCACTGTAATGTCTGCACCTGTTGTATTCGGCGCATGTGACCAATAAAATTTGATTTGATTTGATTTGAAGAACAACAACAACAGCCTATAGACACAACAATAAACACAAGGTCATTACAATAACTCAACCACCTAGACATACAAAACATAAGGACAGCAAGTCAACAACCTGCTTAGAGTCAATCACACATCCTCAACTCTGAAGGCATGGTTACTACATTTATTATTATTAAAATTATTATTATTATTATTATATTATTATTAAATTGAGTTGCACTTGATACACTTGATATGATTCAATGTCCACGCTAACAACCTGCTCACCATCAGTAACACATCACCAACAACACTTCAGAGATTGATGCTTGTGGAATTTTCACCTTTGAGTTCTAGAACCCTCTAAAATACTCAAGGTGGAACACTCAGCATTCTAAGTATGATTTAATCTATATGGTAATCCTGTCTCTCCAGTCTACCTCGCTCTGGGTACTTAGACCTGTGTCTGTATGCCTCTCAAATGGAACCATGTTGCAATTACACAGCCGTCACAACTCATCTGCCTCTGGTGGTCTGAATTGGAGAGAAAAACAGGCACAGCTCTCGCTTTTATTTATTTATTTATTTTAGTCATTTAGCAGACGCTCTTATCCAGAGCGACTTACAGGAGCAATTAGGGTTAAGTGCCTTGCTCAAGGGCACATCGACAGATTTTTCACCTAGTCGGCTCGGGGATTAGAACCAGCGACCTTTCGGTTACTGGCACAACGCTCTTACCCACTAAGCTACCTGCCGCTTTTGAAGTTGAGTTAAAGATCACTGACGTTTGGGCCATCTTGGCCTGCAATCAGACAGCCGATGGATTTTCAACCTCCACTCTGATGCCTATCAGACAATCACACAGTGTATCAATGCCAGGCATCAGACAGAGAGAGGATGCTTCCCAGATGGCACCCTATTCCCTTTATAGTGCACCACATTTGACCAGTCTGGTCAAAAGTAAGTGCGCTGTATAGGGAATAGGGTGCCATTTGGGACGCAAGCGGGACAGAACGTGTATCACAACAGTGTATCAATGCCAGGCAGCCATCAGACAAAGACAGACAGAAGAGAGAGAGAGAGAGAGAGAGAGAGAGAGAGAGAGAGGAGAAGAGAGGAGAGAGAGAGAGAGATAGAGAGAGAGAGGTCAGATAGAGAGAGAGGAGACAAGAGAGAGGATATCGAGAGAGAGAAGAGAGAGAGAAAGAGATAGACAGAGAGATACAAAATATAATATAAGAGAGAGATATAGAGAGAGAAATGAGATGACAAACAGAGATAAATAGAGAAGAGATGAGAGCAAGAGAAAGAAGAGACCGAGAGGATGGACTTAAAGCCACCCATCTTCCATTACTCCAGACGTATTATGAGAGAGAGACGATGACGATGAGAGCAGGACGAGAGAGAGAGAGAGAGAGATGACCGCGACCGAGAGCAGAGAGGGACGAGAGACGAACAGAGCCAGGGAGAGAGAGGAAGAGAGACAAGAGAGAGAGAGAAAGAGAGACAGAGAGAGAGAGAGAGAGACAGAGAGAGAGAGAGAGAAACAGAGAGATAGAGAGAGAGACAGAGTGTAATCTATATGATGAATGCAGTAGGTCTACCTGCTGTACTGTAATCTATATGGTGAATACAGTAGGCCCACTTACTGTACTGTAATCTATATGATGAATAAAGTAGGCCCACCTACTGTAATGTAATCTATATGGTGAATGCAGTAGGTCTACCTCGTAGGTGGTCGCCAGCTCCTTGCCATTGGCTGTGAAGGAGAGAAAGCCTGTTGCCAGGTCAACGAGACATCCAATCTCCAGGTCGATGTTAGAACGGGACGAGGAGTGGGAGGAGCCGACAACATCTCCAGCACACACCATGTAGCAGTTACTCCTCCGAACACTGGAATGGACAGACAGGGGGGGAGAGAGTTAAAACAGTGTGTGACGGAGGGAGTGAGTGATTGAGTGAGTGATCACTAGTGATCAAGATAGTGACCGTGTGAGTGATCGAGTGAGTGAATGAGTTAGTGAGTATGTGAATGAATGAATGAATGATGTCAACAATCCAGTTAAATGTCCCCAAAAAAGCTGGAACTTGCCTCTCGTGGACCCGTCCCCTCTCGTCTCCCAGGGTTATGGTAACCGTGCGTGTCTTGTTGAGGCTGAACTGTTTGCTATGGTAATGGTAGTCAGGGGTTACCCAGCCAACCCACACTGACGCTGGGTCCTGGCCAGCAAACACTCTCACTGAGTGATAGTACGTTGTGATGCTGCCATAATCATCTTGCTTTGGGGGCTGACTGCAAAAGGAAAATCGGCAGGTAAGATCAACGATAACTTATCAGGTTCCGCTTCACATTAAGTGAGTGTAAAAAATATTATTATATTGATTGATTGATTGATGTTTACTGTCTTCCAATTGTAAATATGGAATATCTAAAGCCTTGCTTGAAAGCAATATGTGTGTTTCTACCTGTGATTCTACATTGTTTCTGACCTGAGTTTATGAGACTCGTCAGCATTGATATGAGGAGCGTGGAGCTCTACAGGCATGCTCAGTCTGCAGTACAGCATGTCACTGTTGCTCTGCTGGGTCCCAAACGTCTTGTGGGTCACCTTCAGACACGGGGGGTTGTCCACTGTCCCATCTATCCTCGTCACCTGGGGTCAGCACAATCAGATTCAGAGGGGAAGAACAATCACAATCAGATTCAGAGGGGAAGAACAATCACAATCCGATTCAGAGGGGAAGAACAATCACAATCCGATTCAGAGGGGAATGATTAGCACTCAGATCCAGGAATGGAACAATTTCCTTTAAAATGTCAGGCTTTAGTGGGATATTGCTCAACATTAGGCCCCTGGTAACCAGGCCCCTTAATACTAAAACATTACCTCGATGTGGTTGTGGTCCTTGGGGATGTTGACGAAGGTAGGCAGGCGTTTGCTGAACCACATGGTGACCTCACGGTTCATGTTGACAGCGAAGGGTTCGAAGCCCTCCTGGAGGCCACACATGGTGTAGTATTTAAAGGTGCTGGCGTCCTTCCCCAGGTTCATACGGCCAATCTCAGACTGGGCCAGACAACACACTGGGATGAAGCCTGGAGGGGTTAGAGGTCAGAGGTTAGAAGTTATTAGGTCATTCTGGGACTTGGCCAAACAACACACGGGATGAAGCCTAGAGATGGTAGAGGTCAGAGGTTAGAGTTTAACATATGTGTCTGGAAAGGAACTAGTCTTAAGCCACAACCCAAAAGCAATTAACTCCAATCCACCAGTGGGTGCAAAAATACTCATTATTATACACTGCACTCCCCTAGAACATTGGAGAAAAGGCTTAATTTGGAACACAACAATCGATATGATTTACATTGAGTAACTGTGCTTGTCTTCCAACAACAACAACTTCATTTGTAGGCTAATTCAACGACTGATTTCCCCAGTGCTTTGCTGCTTTATGTTTATATGCTCTGTGATCCAAACCTCAAGAGTACATTTCTGGTAAAGCACATCTTGAATACATGAATAAATATGAATAAATATCAAAGCATTTCATTGTGCAAAGCAAATGTACTGTATGTGAAGTCAGACAATAAACCAGTACAGAAAAGTTAGCTGAGGAAGCTCCTCCCATCTTCCTAGAGGGAAAAGAGACATTTTATATTTTAGAAGACACTTTTATTTGTACTGGTCCCCCGTGGGAATCAAACCCACAACCCTGGGGTTCAAAGCGCCATGCTCTACCAACTGAGCCACACAGGACCACCGTGTGAATCTACAGTCTTTCTACAGACTACAGTCTCTACAGACTACAGTCTCTACAGACTACAGTCTTTCTACAAACTACAGTCTCTACAGACTACAGTCTCTACAGACTACAGTCTTTCTACAAACTACAGTCTCTACAGACTACAGTCTCTACAGACTACAGTCTCTACAGACTACAGTCTTTCTACAGACTACAGTCTTTCTACAGACTACAGTCTCTACAGACTACAGTATTTCTACAGACTACAGTCTCTACAGACTACAGTCTTTCTACAGACTACAGTCTCTACAGACTACAGTCTTTCTACAGACTACAGTCTTTCTACAAACTACAGTCTCTACAGACTACAGTCTTTCTACAGACTACAGTCTCTACAGACTCCAGTCTCTACAGACTACAGTCTCTACAGACTACAGTCTCTACAGACTACAGTCTTTCTACAGACTACAGTCTCTACAGACTACAGTCTTTATACAGACTACAGTCTTTCTACAGACTACAGTCTTTCTACAAGAGATTGAGAAAGGATAAAGATAAACTCACCATCCTCTGTCTGGAAGTCGACGAAGCAGAGCTCTGATCCCTTGTTAGTGATGAGTAGTTCTCCATTGAGAGTGAAGACCATAGACTTGTCCTCCATGTTGATCATGCAGCCCACCACATCTCCTTTGTTCCATGAATGCCCGAAGAAACGTGCGCCCATGTGCATACGACGACCCTGGGGGAACAAACAACACGTATTACTAACCCTAATGTAATAATCACCCCTGAAACGTAAAGTCGATTAAGTGTACGCTCAAGCAGGGCCTCCCGAGTGGCGCAGTGGTCTAAGGCACTGTATTGCAGTGCTTGAGGTGTCACTACAGCCCCGGGTTTGATCCCAGGCTGTGACTGGGAGACCCATGAGGTGGCGCACAATTGTCCGGGTTAGGGGAGGGTTTGGCCGGCCGGGAGTTCCTTGTCCCATTGCGCTCTAGTGACTCCTTGTGGCGGGCCACGCGCCTGCAAGCTGACTTTGGTTGGACGGTGTTTCTTCTGACACATTGGTGCGGCTGGCTTCCAGGTTAAGCGAGCAGTGTGGCTTGGCAGGGTTGTGTTTCGGACGACGCATGGCTCTTGACCTTCGCCTCTCCCGAGTCCGTAGGGGAGTTGCAGTGATGGGACAAGACTGTAACTACCAATTGGATATCACGAAAAAGGGGTAAAAGCTTACAATCATTTGCCTAGGTGCATGGCATGTCATTTTTTTTCTGATTTGGCAACAGTATAACATTGCTGAATGCAGAATGAGTTAGGTAGCCAGGTTAGACCTATATGTACATGATAATACACTTCAAACAGTATCAAAAGATGGTTAAGATAACATAAAAACAGATAAGATAAAAACATTATTTAAAGATAAGAAGCGTTGTTTGTTTACCTTGTATCCATCGAAGACGTAGGCCTGGTCGTCCATGCCCAGGTCAAAGTCTGATCTACAGCCTGGTCTAGCCCAGCCAACCCTCATGTCCCCTCCGGTCAGGGCCTCAAACTCAAAGTACCACTTCCCTGTCTTCACTGCATACGTCTGCTCTACGCGGAAGAACCGGATCGTCTCGATGCTCTGCCTCTCCACGATATGACAGGCTGGGGACACAGAGGAGATATTCGACCCAATGCCGAACTATGACAACTGTAAGGGTATCTTTGGGCCTAGCTAGGGAAGCTAGAGAGATATCTTAGACCTCTGAAAGATTGACTGAATCCGTCTCGAAGGACCATATCTATTGCAGTCTATTGTAATCTAGCCTCCACACTAACTACTGAGGAAAAGGAAAGGACACATTCAGGTGGGCACAATATACCACAGCTAAGGGCTGTATCCAGGCACTCCGTGTTGTGTCGTGCGTAAGAGCAGTCCTTAGCCGTGGTATAATGGCCATATACCACACCCCCTCGAGCATTATTGCTTAATTACGGGTGTGGTAAGGGAGACAAGTACCTGTTTGCTTGCTAATAAATTAGTTGAAGGATACTGGAAAAGTGCCTGTAATGATAGCTCTGACAGTGTAAAATGACAATTAGATCGCTACTACAGTACTGTACCGTTCAGTACAACAGTTATTTGACCATTCAATTGTTAATGTCCTCACCCTCTTGGTCTGGGGGGTCGATGTCGTAGCCGTATCCCACCAGAGTCCTGATGGCCTCCCTCAGACTGTCTCTGTTGGACTTTTTGGTTCTCTCGTCTAGCAGAGCGTACGGCACCAGGCGCGGGTTACGCCTGCTCTTCACATCCTACAGAGATAAACAACAACATACATCAGAGCCCTTAGGAATCTGGTTCACTAGACTGGTTTTTGTCTTGTTAAATAATGTGTACTATCAAGAGTGGTGTGTTTTATGACATTTAAATACGTGAAATTTATGCCATCAAAGCTCATCCGTTGATCTTTTGCCAATCACAAACCAACATATCTGGTCGATTAAAGAACTGGACAAAGACATTGGTTTATAATGTTATTTGTATTGATTGGATTTGACGGATAAAGAGAGAGAGAGGGACCACTGTACCTGCTGGATGCCGTAGGTCCATCCTTGTTTGACCCTGTCCTTGGCCCACACGTTGTGGGCGTTCTCCGCCAGTTTATCTACCAGAACCTCCTGACCAGCTGTCAGTTTCACCTCAGAAAGCTCCAGTGGTGTTGGCCTATACCCGTTAGACATCACATAGCTGAAAATATCAAAACATATACCCGTTAGACATCCCATAGTTGCACTTAACACAACAGAAAGAAGCTTTCAAGAAACGTATTCTAAGCCAGGCATCAACTGTAGAACTGTAGAACTGTAGAGCTGTAGAACTGTAGAACTGTAGAGCTGTAGAGCTGTAGAACTGTAGAACTGTAGAACTGTAGAACTGTAGAGCTGTAGAACTGTAGAGCTGTAGAACTGTAGAACTGTAGAGCTGTAGAACTGTAGAACTGTAGAACTGTAGAGCTGTAGAGCTGTAGAACTGTAGAACTGTAGAACTGTAGAGCTGTAGAACTGTAGAACTGTAGAACTGTAGAGCTGTAGAGCTGTAGAACTGTAGAGCTGTAGAACTGTAGAACTGTAGAACTGTAGAACTGTAGAACTGTAGAGCTGTAGAACTGTAGAACTGTTGAACTGTAGAGCTGTAGAGCTGTAGAACTGTAGAGCTGTAGAACTGTAGAACTGTAGAACTGTAGAACTGTAGAGCTGTAGAACTGTAGAGCTGTAGAACTGTAGAACTGTAGAGCTGTAGAACTGTAGAACTGTAGAACTGTAGAGCTGTAGAGCTGTAGAACTGTAGAACTGTAGAACTGTAGAGCTGTAGAGCTGTAGAACTGTAGAACTGTAGAGCTGTAGAACTGTAGAACTGTAGAGCTGTAGAGCTGTAGAACTGTAGAACTGTAGAGCTGTAGAGCTGTAGAACTGTAGAACTGTAGAGCTGTAGAACTGTAGAACTGTAGAACTGTAGAGCTGTAGAACTGTAGAACTGTAGAACTGTAGAGCTGTAGAACTGTAGAACTGTATAACTGTGGAACTGTGGAGCTGTAGAACTGTAGATGAAGTGTCTCAAACCCCAAGACAGCCTCACTCTGATTTCCTAATGTACCCATCATTATTACTCTCACATTGCTTTAATGACTGTTCATCTCAAGAATAATTACTCACAGTCACTGAGTACATTTCTCCCCTGTAGGGCTTTAGAAATATAACTCATACTGCTACAATAGGTAGGCCTACTAGTAGAAACGACGTGACTTACTCTTTGGGCAGTTTGACTTTCTTCAGATCGTCCTCAGCGTTAACGTTGGTCTGTGCAACATGACATCCCAGCGCCAACAGGGTCCTGACACACACAGTGAGAGAGAGAGAGAGAGAGAGAGACAGTATACAGGAGTTAAACCTCACTGTCACGTTCTGTTGCCTGCAAGTAAGCATTTCATTGGACAGTGTATAACATGCGTATCCTGTACACACGACTAATAAAACTTGAAACTTCTATTATATTTTTCATCTTGTTTTCAAATGTAGCCATTCTTTGAGACCCGTACCCGAGCAGACAGACACTCTGGCCAGGTGTATTCAACAAGCAGCTACAGGGAACTGATAGCAGAGCACCTGCTCTCACCTGTCACTATTCTATTCCACGTATATATACTATGTAACTGTTTCATGAGATCAGCACCAGTAACTTTGAAAATGTTTTTGTTTTATAGTTTTTTATTGATTGTAATACCTTTGATGTGATCCAATAAAACAATTGTTCACAACAAAAAAAGCATCAGTAACTTTACTATTCATAAGCTTCCCCTAAAGTAAATTGCCAAAATTATATAGCCTAATTAGTACAATCATTCAAAATAGGCAGAAAGCATGATCATCAGCTAAGAAAATCTGTTTTCGCTTTGTCATTATTTGAAATGTTAATATGCCATTTAGCAGACGCTTTTATCCAAAGCGACTTACAGTCATGCGTGCACACATTTCTTTACGTATGGGTGGTCCCGGGGATCGAACTCACTACCCAGGCTTTACAAGTGCCATGCTCTACCAATTGAGCTACAGAGGACCACAATTATGGGGTATTGTGTGTAGATTGATGAGGAACATTATTTTGATTTTATCAATTTTAGAATAAGGCTGTAATGTAAATTTTTTTTGGGAAAAAGTCAAGGGGTCTGAATACTTTCCGAATGCACTGTATATATAAATCATTGGTTTGTCAGTGTCAGCAGAGTAGGCTACCCTGTAATTGTTGTCATAGGCTATTAAATAAGATTCTGCTAATGTCTCCAGTCTTATAAAGTGTAATAGAATTGCATGAAATGTGTTTATAAAATGCAAAATTTTTCCTGTCCAAAGAAAGACAAAAGGTATCTGATATAGTCTATAGTCTACAGACCTACTCTATACCACTACGCGCTCAGCCATGCAGTGAACTGTCTTTTTTTTGCGAATAGTGATTGACTTTTATTATTAACCTAAATTATGATGATCCAATCTACTCATCACATTATGAATAATAGGCCATCTTATGTAAGTCTGTAAATGCGATGATGCATGGAATGCTTTATTATCATCTCCCGAGTGGCGCAGTGGTCTAAGGCACTGCATAGCTGTGCCACTAGAGATCCTGGTTTGAATCCAGGCTCTGTCGTAGCCGGCCGCGACCGGGAGACCCATGGGGCGGCGCACAATTGGCACAGCGTAGGGGAGGGAATGGCCAGCAGGGATGTAGCTCAGTTGGTAGAGCATGGCGTTTGCAACGCCAGGGTTGTGGGTTCGATTCCCACGGGGGGCCAGTATGAAAAAATAATGTATGCACTCACTAGCTGTAAGTCGCTCTGGATAAGAGAGTCTGGTAAATGTTTAAATTATATAGGTCTATTTTTATGGTGAAAATGTGCTTCCCCAAACTTGAAACTCACGCGCCGCCTATGCTACTATTGCTTATGTGTGAGTGCTGCAGCTGCTTCTTTCAGTTGGTAAAGAATTACCCAAATACTGATTCACATGGACTGCATGTGGGCTGTATGAGGCCGGTTATTAAAGCAGCTAGTTGCATCTAATGAGTTAGATCTCCTGAGTCTGAGTGAAACCAGAGGAGTATTGATTTAAAGAGCCTGGAGGAGCTCTTAGCTCAGAGCCTAGTATTCCACCTAAACCAGTGAGTCATCATCTTCCCCTGCACAGCGTCATCACACAGGCACTCCTTTTAAAGACACTTCCTGGTACGAAGAGCATCAATTAAATAGGCTATCTGTCAATTACTTAGCCAAGTATGAAACATCCTCTTAGTGAAACATGGCTATCAATCACTGCGTGTGGAAGATGTAGATACTTTTTGTTTTCGGTAGATACTGGGATGTTAGTTTGGTTGTCATCGGTGGCTTCTCTTTTCAGTGTAATTGGATGGAATGAGTCATGGGAATGTGTGATACAGTATGTATATATGTTTAGGATCTTAACCTAGCTACTCACTTGAGAGTTTCACTAGACATCTGCAGGTTATAGTTACTCTCAGTTTCAGGCAGCTTGGTGAAATCCACCAGGCACGGGTGCTGCCTCTTGTTGTCATCTCGAACCTGAGGGAGAGAGGAGAGGCAATGTAGCACGGTCACGTCTGGATGCACAAACTGATTTTACTGTCGGATTGCAACTGTCGACAGAACTGTTGACAAAAACTTAAATGATTCACTGCGTAGGTAGTGCTGGGTGCTCTGGGTGCTGAGATTAATGTGTAACATATGGAAACTTCAATGATCCAATCACGATACAATACATCATCAAATGTGTTACTGACAATGTAGACTACAGTCTACATTGACACAAATACTAATTTTCACAAAGTCTGCTGCCTCAGTTTTGATGATGGCAATTTGCATATACTCCAGAATGTCATGAAGAGTGATCAGATGAATTGAAAATAAATGCAAAGTCCCTCTTTGCCATGAAAATGAACATAATCCCCCCAAAATATTTCCACTGCATTTCAGCCCTGCCACAAAAGGACCAGCTGCCATCATGTCAGTGATTATCTCGTTAACACAGGTGAGAGTGTTGACGAGGACAAGGCTGGAGATCACTCTGTCATGCTGATTGAGTTAGAATAACAGACTGGAAGCTTTAAAAGGAGGGTGGTGCTTGAAATCATTGTTCTTCCTCTGTTAACCATGGTTACCTGCAAGGAAACACGTGCCGTCATCATTGCTTTAAACAAAAAGGGCTTCACAGGCAAAGATATTGCTGCTAGTAAGATTGCACATAAATCAACCATTTATCGGATCATCAAGAACTTCAAGGAGAGAGGTTCAATTGTTGTGAAGAAGGCTTCAGGGCGCCCAAGAAAGTCCAGCAAGTGCCAGGACCGTCTCCTAAAGTTGATTCAGCTGCGGGATCGGGGCACCACTAGTGCAGAGCTTGCTCAGGAATGGCAGCAGGCAGGTGTGATTGCATCTGCACGCACAGTGAGGCGAAGACTTTTGGAGGATGGCCTGGTGTCAAGAAGGGCAGCAAAGAAGCCACTTCTCTCCAGGAAAAACATCAGGGACAGACTGATATTCTACAAAAGGTACAGGGATTGGACTGCTGAGGACTGGGGTAAAGCCACTCCTTTGTTGCCTTGGCCGTGTGTTTTGGGTCATTATCATGCTGGAATACTCATCCACGACCCATTTTCAATGCCCTGGCTGAGGGAAGGAGGTTCTCACCCAAGATTTGACAGTACATGGCCCCATCCATCATCCCTTTGATGCGGTGAAGTTGTCCTGTCCCCTTAGCAGAAAAACACGCCCAAAGCATAATGTTTCCACCTCCATGTTTGACGGTGGGGATGGTGTTCTTGGGGTCATAGTCTTTTATACAGGTAACAAGCTGAGATTAGGAGCACTCCCTTTAAGAGTGTGCTCCTAATCTCAGCTCGTTACCTGTATAAAAGACACCTGGGAGCCAGAAATCTTTCTGATTGAGAGGGGGTCAAATACTTATTTCCCTCATTAAAATGCAAATTAATTTATAACATTTTTGACATGCGTTTTTCTGGATTTTTTTGTTGTTATTCTGTCTCTCACTGTTCATATAAACCTACCATTAAAATTATAGACTGATCATTTCTTTGTCAGTGGGCAAACGTACAAAATCAGCAGGGGATCAAATACTTTTTTTCCTCACTGTATAGAAAACTGATAAAAATACAACTTAAGGAACAGCTCTCTGAAGAGACACACACACACACAGGTATAGATACACGCAAATGTACACACACGCTAGCACACGCACTCTACACACAAATACATTGTAATATTGTTGTATGGTGGTATTATGCATTTTGTATTGTAAATATGTAGTGGTGTAATAAAGTTATATGATGTACTGTTTTAGCTTTTGTTTTATATATAATGTAAGTGCATTAATGTGTTTGGACCCCAGGAAGAGTAGCTGCTGTCTTGGCAGAACTAATGGGGAGCCATAATAAACCCCAGCAAGAGTAGCTGCTGCCTTGGAAGGAACTAATGGGGCTCCTTAATAAACCCCAGGAAGAGTAGCTGCTGTCTTGGAAGGAACTAATGGGGATCCTTAATAAACCCCAGGAAGAGTAGCTGCTGCCTTGGCAGGAACTAATGGGGATCCTTAATAAACGCCAGGAAGAGTAGCTGCTGCCTTGGCAGGAACTAATGGGGATCCATAATAAACCCCAGGAAGAGTAGCTGCTGCCTTGGCAGGAACTAATGGGGATCCATAATAAACCCCAGGAAGAGTAGCTGCTGCCTTGGCAGGAACTAATGGGGTTCCATAATAAACCCCAGGAAGATTAGCTGCTGCTTTGGCAGGAACTAATGGGGATCCTTAATAAACCCCAGGAAGAGTACCTGCTGCCTTGGCAGGAACTAATGGGGATCCTTAATAAACCCCAGGAAGAGTAGCTGCTGCCTTGGCAGGAACTAATGGGGCTCCTTAATAAACCCCAGGAAGAGTAGCTGCTGCCTTGGCAGGAACTAATGGGGATCCATAATAAACCCTAGGAAGAGTAGCTGCTGCCTTGGCAGGAACTAATGGGGATCCATAATAAACCCCAGGAAGAGTAGCTGCTGCCTTGGCAGGAACTAATGGGGATCCATATAACCCCAGGAAAAGTAGCTGCTCCCCTTGGCGGAAACTAATGGGGACCTAAAAAAACCCGGGAAAGTACTGCTGCCGGGCAGGAACAAATGGGGATTTTTAAAAAACCCCAGGAAGATGCTGCTGCTTGGCAAACAATGGGGATCCTTAATGACCCCGGGAAGAGTCTGCTGCCTTGGCGGAACTAAGGGGACCAAAAAACCCCAGGAAGGTAGCGCTCCCCTTGGCAGAACTAATGGGGATCCTTAATAAACCCGGGAAGAGTAGCTGCTGCCTTGGCAGGAATAATGGGATCTTAAAAAACCCCGGGAAAAGAGTAGTGCTCCTTGGCGGGGAAACTAATGGGGATCCTAATAACCCCAAAGAGTATGCGCTTGGCAGGAATAATGGGACCCATAATAAACCCCAGAAGATAGCTGCTGCCTTGGCAAAAACTAATGGGGCCCCTTAAATAAAACCCCAGGAAATAGCTCTGCTTGCGGGAAACTAATGGGGTCCATAAAAAACCCCCCCGGGAAGATTACTGTGCCTTGGCAGGAATAATGGGATTTTTAAAAAAACCCCAAAAGAGTGCTGCTGCCTTGGAAGGACTAATGGGGATCCTTAAAAAACCCCGGGAAGAGTACTGCGCCTTGGCGGACTAATGGGGACCCTTAAAAACCCCGGAAGAATGCTGCTGCCTGGCAGGAACAAATGGGGACCTTAAAAACCCCAGGAGAGTAGCTACTGCATAAAAATGCAATACAAATATCCACGATCACAGAGCGGGGTAAAGAACGATGTCTTTTTGAAGTCAAACCAAAGGTGGTGTGCCCAACTCAAAATAAAAATTTTTCCAGTGTGGTGTGTGTTTGTTTTTGTTTTTGGGTTTCTGTGTGTGTATGGTGTGTGTGTGTGTGTTTGTGGGTGTGTTGTGTGTGGTTTGTGTGTATGGTGTTGTGTGTGTGTGTGTGTGTGTGGTTTGTGTTGTTTTTTGTGTTGTGTTGTGTTTGTGTGTTGTGGTGTGTGTGTTTGTGTGGTTTTGTGTGTGTGTGGTATATCGACTTCATGAAAAAAAAAGTGGTAGGAGGTTGCAGAGGAATCTTTCCCAACAAAAGGTAAATGTACTCTGCTGTTTTTCTGCTTACTCATCACATTTTTTATTTATCATCCTCCCCAATTTCTGTCCCTTGTTCCCAAAGGGCACCCTATTGCGACATATGCACTATTTTTGACCAACCAATTCAAAAGTAGTGCCAAAATAGGGTTAGTCTTTTTTGGGACAAACCAAAGTCACTTTTGAGATAATGAGGGCTCGTTTAAAATTTGAATTAACCGGCAACGCTGCTTCCAAATATTTCCTTAATAATAAAAGAAGAGGGGGGGGGAAAGGGGGGGAGAGGAAGGAAAAGAAAGAAAAAGAAGATAAAAGGGGATAAATTTTGGGGGGTGAAGGGTGGGGGGTATCTTATTCGTGACCTTCCCTTTTTTATTTTTAATTTTGTTTTTTCCTCTCTCGCGCTCTCCCCCCTCTCTCTTTCCCCCCCCCTCCTCTCCCTCCTCCCTTTTTCTGCTCTCTTCCTCTCCCTCTCTCTCTCTCTCTCTTCTCTCCTCTCTTCTCTCCTCTTCCCCCCCTCCTCTCCTCCCCTCTCTTCTCTCTCTCTCTCTCTCTCTTCTTTTCCCCCCCTCTTTCCTCTCTCTCTCCCCTGCTCCTCTCTCCCCTCTTCCCCTCTCTCCTCTCTCCCCTTCTCCCTCTCTTTTCTTCTCTCCTTCCCCCTTTCCCCTCCCCCTCTTCTCTCCTCTTTTTCTCCCCCCTCTCCTCTCTCTTCTTCTTTCCTTCTCCTCCCTCTCCCTTTTCCCCTTTCTCCCCTCTTTTCTTCCTCCTCTCTTCTCCCTCTCTTTTTCCCCCTTTCTCTCTCCTTCTGTTTTTTTTTAAAAACCCCCCCTTTTTCCCCTTTTCCCTCCCCCCCTCCCCCCTCTCCCCCTCTCCCCTCTCCCTTTTTCTTTTCCTCTTTTATTGGGTCTGGGAGCCACACACAAATACTCATACAAACCGTATTACAACATCAATTAAAAACACAACTCCAATTCCTCCTCCACAGAACTGAGCACAACAGCTCTGAATACCCCATATACTCATAAACAGATCAATAATTGTTGACAAGTTTATAATATGCAAACTCAATCTTAGTCTGCTGCCCAACATTCCCTCCAGCATTCCCAACCACATCCACAGACCCCTGTCCCCCGAATACTGTTCTTCGGGTCTTCCATATGGCTAATTTTGCTGCCCCTAACACAAAATTAAGCACACAACTACACCTTTCTGACTAACCTGTACTTTGGCCCAAATATATACAGTTGGGAAGAGAAAACCTCTCCCAGAGCTGGAACCAATTAGTGATCAGGTCAATCATCCCACCAACCTGGACAACTGTAAAAACAGATGTGCCAGAGTTTCAGACTGAGCACAGAATGGACACCCCTC